AAGTAGAGAAACCGATAGCGAACAGCATGGATCCTGATCAGCACAGGCTGGTCTGGATCCATGCTGGTCGCAAATGCACTATGTTGATTTTGTAGTGACACGGCTCATTAATTGTTTAACAGATGCATGTCATACATTGTAAAACCTGTTGACTTGTAGCACTCACCCCTTGTACAGTTTCACTGAGGCACGATTACTATGTTTGCATGGATAGTTGACCTTTTTACTTTTCACCTGTTATTTATCATTAAGAATGTTTTTTTTGTTTTTTTTTTTGTTTTTTTTTGGGGGGGGGGGGGTGTGTTGGTTTATTTTAATTAACTAAACTGGTATATACATATGTAGTGAAAATTTCAGACCTCGTAAAAGAAAAAATTGGATTGTAAAAGAACTACTGTTTTATATCAGATAATCCTCCTTTTTGTTTTATGTGTATTCTCAGTGAAATTGTGACAGGGAAGTGGTTGTGTTTCATATATCTACATGTGGTTTTAATAAAATTTTTGTCAATGAAGTACATTCCTTATCAAGGTCAATCTGTGATAAATTAATGTTTTCATTTGTTTAAACAGTAAAAATTACACTCATTAAAATGTTGAAGTTTCTTCCTTCAACTAAACTTGATTGTGTCATATATATTCATTATGGCAGGAGTAGTTATTATTATTATTATTACATATATAATTATTGAATGGTACACTGTAGATTTAAAGGCATAATATATAAATGTATAAAACTTTGTAATTTTTCATTTGTTTTTTCTTTAAATCAGAAATATTTTCTTTTCTCATTGTTTGATTACTTTTTAGTTTGCTAACTAGTTTGCTAATTGTATTGTTTTCCGCCATTATAAATTAAATATTCTTTTACTTATGTTTAATGACATGAAATTATTTAAACTTAAGTGAATATGGTTAAATATTGCACTTAACTGTAATTTTTCTTTATGCATTCTTTTATCTTTTTAATGACATTTGGTCAGACTGTAGGATAAAACAACTTTAATTTTTAACTTCATTAATTTTATTCCACTCAACCTTATAAAGTGTATAGGGATAAGAGACGGGAAAAAGTATTTCATCGCGTTGTCTAGTTAATATTATGTACAGGCACTCACTGTTTATTATTTAAAACAAAACAAATTGAAGCTCCACATTTTGTCAAAGTTTGGGTTTTTGTTATGCATATTTTATTATTCACATGTAAAAAGATATTTCCTAGACAATTGTAATGATATTTTGTTCTACGTAATATGGTTTTCAAATGAAATGATATGATGTAAATTGGGTGACCAAGGCTTGATTCCTGGACATTGCAGGCTGCTTTGGTTGTTATTTCCCATATAATACTTCCTACAGTCATTCATGTACAGAGGTAACTAAAATATTTTTGCCAAAGTGTAGGCATATTGTACTGGTAAACTGCTTTATAGATTTATCAGGAATGATGCAGTGGTTTAACAGTGCTTCGGTGAATTTAACCCATTACTTCATGAGCATTTTGTGAAAAATGGCTGTTTTCATTGAAAAGTCTCCCTTTACAAGTTCAAATTGCTATAATACTATAAAAACTGCTTCAACACTAATCAAACTTGGCACAAATGTTGACTGGACCATTGCCCTTGTAACAACATGCTCAGGCTTAAATTTTCTGTTACCATGACAATGAGGGGACATCTCAAAATTGCCAAAAAAATCACTATTTTGCGTTGATTTTTTCCATCAAAATTAATTTCAAAGTGCTGCAACTTCTCAATGGATTGAGATAGAGTCAAATGCTTTTCAGCGTTGGTTACATGTTACCTTATGATCAATCTGGGGTCATTTACAGCCTCTCACAAGTCCAAAATTTTCTTGGCGATGAGGGGGACTCCGCCCCCTTCAAACCCCCCAAACAGAAGGGGGTACAAACCCCCTTCTGGCAACCCCTGATGTATTCTTTTGTTGGGGGGCCACGCCGAAAAAGAGGTCACTTTTTTTTAACAACATTTCTCAAACAAAAACAAGTGTTTGGGGCCTAAATAAGGCATTTTTTCATCATTTGAGACAACAAAAGGGGGGGGTTGAAAAAGGCGTTAAAAGGCGTGTATATGAAGTAATGGGTTAATACGTATGGCTAGCTGCAGTGATTTGGAGGTTAAACTTACAAACACCCATTATAAGTGAATGTTGAATATAGAATATGTCCAGCTGTCAAAATAAGGACTCTTCCATGCTGAATGTAATTTAAAAAAGAAAAAGAAAGTTGCTATCACTTGTTATTATCAAATATTGTTGAACTGGAAAACATGTTTTACTCTTATTTAACTTATACAGTAACCTCCAGAATTATTGAAATGAACTTCGAAATTGTCCATTATTATATAAGGTGATATCAAGTTGAAAGTTTAAATTATGCCAGTCATTACAGTGGAACTGTGTCTGAAAGTACAGGTGTTCAGGCTGGCCTAGTTCCATACTGGTGGCAAAGGCTAATCACTCTCTGTTCAGGCAGGTTACTGCTTCTATTAAATACAATATGATCAAAACACTCAAACAGTAAATCTAATAAAGAGAGACTTAGTTTAAGTGATACATTATGGTATGGCTTGTTGTTTCTTCTATAAATAGTTTGAAGGGATTTTGTGCTGGTTTGTATTATTACTCTGTCAAATTGGTAAAATAAGATTTAATAATAAAAACTAAATAAAGATAGAAAGTTCTTTTTTCACAGGCCAGTCTCCCACTTTGCGACTTTGTACAAACAATCTAATCTTTCACTTTTAATTAGCAAATTGATAGTTAATAAGGATGACATATTTAAGATTAAACCCTTATTATGAAAGTAAATTGATATTTAGATTTGAGTCATTTGTCTAAACATTTTTGATCATGAGGTTTCTCAATAAATACTTAGGCTGAGTGCTTTGATAACACATCAGCTTTTGTTTTGATGAAAAATATCAAAATCTGTGTGAAGCTAGAATTAAGAATACTAAAATGACTGTCAATGAATAACTTCACCGATTGAGGTTAACAACTTCGGGTAAACTGAAAGTATGAACTTAATTGACACCATATGATTATGGAAACAGGGGTTTGTTTGTCTGGACATTTCTATTTACTATACCACCTTAACATCTTATGTGGACTTTTCCATCTTTCAGTCTGGACCAAATCATTTGTCATGTTCAGACATAATTTACAAATGAGCCGCATCACGACAAAACCAACATAGTGGGTTTGCGACCAGCATGGATCCAGACCAGCCTGCGCATCCACGCAGTCTGATCAGGATCCATGCTGTTAGCTATCAGTTTCTCTACTTGTAATAGAGTTTGTAAGCGAACAGCATGGATCCTGATCAGACTGCGCGGATGCGCAGGCTGGTCTGGATCCATGCTGGTCGCAAACGCATTACATTGGTTTTGTCGTGATGCGGCTCAAATCATTTACAGACTGAATAGTGAACAGTGCAGACCAAGACATAGCAGGTGATCTTGGTCTGCACTGGTCACATCAGTAAAATCAGTAGCTGCTAGTGGGCTAATTGTTAAGGATAGAAGAATTATCTAGTCATATGTAATTTTAACTATCACACTTTTTTGTCTTGTATACAGTGTACATGTAAATTGTATATATTTGATTGAAAAATTTATAAAGGCAATTTTAATCTTTTTTTTTCAAGTTTCATGCATACATTGTTACATTTGCATAGACTTGGAACTTAGGTTATGTAATGATATAATTATAAATCATGTGGGCAGATTTTTAGAGGTTTAGGATAGTATTATAGTAATTAATGATAATACAGTATACCTTTATGTAACAGCAGATTAATTTTAATGTGAATTAATTTGAAATCCTCAAAACCTCAATAAAGTTACCTTCCAGGGGCCACAAAAGCAAGTGTATTTGTTACCTAGCTTGTATGTAATTTTCCTGTTTACTTCATAGTAAAGAAATGTGTCAGATAAAACTGATAAGTAAGTTTAAAGCAGATTTTGTCTGCCCTGGTTATTTTGTATTCTTCGCTCGACTAACTAAAGAACAGGAAGAACTATTCTACCCATCTCACTTTGGTTAATTTTTTGCATGCAAGTGGTCGGGAATTGGTTCAAACTTCACATACTTATTTGTGAGGGTAATATGTCACTTTCCAAGGCCAATAAAGTGACAGAGTTATGGCACCTTTCGAAAATTGACATTATACATGCTCTTATTTATTATAGTCAATGGGTTGTAACACTTTTTCTGTGCCCCACCCACCTCATTTATTTCTTTAAAATAAAGAGTGATAAAAAGTTGACACAGGCCGGAAGTGGGAAGATAAGTGGGAAGTCATGTTTTCATGTAAACAATGCAATTTTAATTAAATGAGGCGTAGTACATGCACTGTCATATCATATTATACTTTCACAAAAAAGTTTTGTTTTGTTGTTTTCATGAAGTTGAAGAAATGAATTTTTGTAGTTGAGTATATTGTACTTAGATATTCTTTTGGAAATTATTTGAAAAAAATTATTATTTGATGTCAATATACAATGTATTTTAATCTGTATGTATAATTTGATGAATAAATGATACCAACAAGTATTACGTTTGTGGTAATCAGTTCCACGACCTCCATAACACAGAGTGGTTGCTGACATCAGATAACTTGCGCGTTACCGTTGTCGGTTTTTAATTCCATAAGGGACTTCAGCGAGCCCACGGGAGATCGGTGGTCCGCTCGTGCCTGAATTAAAGCACGATGGGGCACCCGAGATCTTACCCGCATTACCATTGCTGGAAAGTGGACATCTGACCTAAACAGTGTCGTTCAAAACACAGCCATCCAGTCCAATTTAAGAATTTCTTATTATCGATGTGTCAGATGCATCCAAGATTTTATGATAACTTCATAATAATTGCTGCACAATAATTTATAAATGGAAATGATCATGTATCATTGTTTTATGACAGAACACGTACTAGATACAAAGTGGTGCACTAGTAATTGGACGTATGATAAAGTACTCGGTAATCTACTGATACCAACAAACGCTATGTTTCAACGAACGCTATATTTACATGTGGCCGCTTTGTGTAGTAGTCATACATAGGTGTTTCGTTGAGCTTATATGTAGGGGGCGTATTTATAAACATACTTTATATTGGAATAAACTTCAGTTTTGACGGTAAGGTTTAAAATGGTTTACTTTTATTGTTGAATATTTTCATGTTAAAATCATTTAAAACCATAGGTAACAATCTCTTGACTATGTCTAAACATACGAGCTTGCACATCCATGCAGTTTTACGCAACATCATATCATTATACTGTTTACTGCTGTCCTATTAAAAGCCTTGCATTAACAATGTTTTGTTCAAATATCAAAGCAGTCCATTATCTCACATATTAAGCACGGTAAAATTTAATTAATCTTCACATTTGTTTTCAAAGTTTCATCGGTTTTTTATGTTTATGAATAATTTATGAGACAATGTAATCACGTTTGTTGGTTTATCTTTGTGTTTCAAGATAGGAGTGAGTCCATATCATCATACATCATAAAGACATATCACGACAAACTGACATTTTGTTGCTATATGAAATGACATATCTACGAATGTTTAATCAACTTATTTCAAATGTTGATTTCTTCTTGAGCTGGTGTTATGGGTGTATATATAAGGTATCAATGACCAGGCCCCTAAAAAGTAAACCGAGTCTTTTTATCACATACCCTTTTGCTTTTGCGACTGATATTGGCCATATTCCACTTTTTTTCTTCTTTTTTTTGTAAAATATAAAAAAACAATATCAATAAGGGAGAGCGGCATTCAACGGACGCCAATACTACACACGTTTTAGCAGAAAGAACTTAATTGTTACATTCGATGACTGATGACTTTCTTAATTTTTAGCTCGACTTTTTTTTTTGAAAAAAAAATAGAGGTATTGCTACAGTTAGGTCGGCGTTGCCGTTGCCGTTGCCGTCCGAAAACTTGTACCTGGATCATAACTTTTTTATTTCTTTGTGTATTGTCTTCATACTTGGCCACAACAACCCTTGGGACAAGACCTTTCAGTAGACCACACTAACCTTGACCTTCATCCATAAATGACCTTGACCTTCAAGGTTAAAAGTCCAATTTTTGCTTGTTCATGCTGTTATTGGCTGTAACTTTGTTATTTTTGAATGGATTGTCTTCAAACTTGAACATAATAATCTTTAAGGATATCCCTTAAAAATAACCAGCCAGACCTTGACCTTCACTCATAAATGACCTTGACTTTGAAGGTCAAATTATTGAAATTTTCATTTTTTTTGGCTTTTATTGGCTGTAAGTTTGTTATTTTTGAATGGATTGTCCTGAAACTTGAACATAATAATCTTCAAAGATTACTGTTAAAGATATACCGGAAGACCTTGACCTTCACACATTAATGACATTGTCTTTGAAGGTCAAATTATTGAAATTTTCATTGTTTTGGCGGTCACTGACTGTAACTTTGCTATTATTGAAGGGATCAACTTCATATTATTAGAGAACATTCTTAAGGACCAGACCTTGTTGTTTATCAAACCCAACTTTGCTTGGGCTCTTAAATGACCTAGACCTTGAAGGTTAAATTACTGAATTTTCTCAGATTTGTGCAGTAAATGACCATATTTAAATATTTATTGGTGTGTGTGTGTCTATATATATATATTTACAACAACAACAACAATAACTAAAATTGTGTCATTGTTTCTATTTATAGAATTGCGTCATTGTTTCTATTTATAGAATTGCGTCATTGTTTCTATTTAGAGAAATTGGGTCATTGTTTTTTTGGGTTTTTTTTTATAGAAATGCGTCATTGTTTCTATTTTTAGAGATTGCATCATTTTTTCTATTTTTAGAAATTGCATCATAATTTCTATTTTTAGAAATTGCATCATTTTTTTCTATTTTTAGATATTGCGTCATAATTTCTATTTTTAGTATTTTTAGAGATTGCATCATTTTTTCTATTTTTAGAAATTGTGTCATAATTTCTATTTTTAGAAATTGCGTCATAATTTCTATTTTTAGAAATTGCGTCATTGGTGCTATTTTTAGATATTGCGTCATTTTTTCTATTTTTAGAAATTGCGTCATAATTTCTATTTTTAGTATTTTTAGAGATTGCATCATTTTTTCTATTTTTAGAAATTGCGTCATAATTTCTATTTTTAGAAATTGCATCATTGGTGCTATTTTTAGAAACTGTGTCATAATTTCTATTTTTATAAATTGCGTCGTAATTTCTATTTTTAGAAATTGCGTCATTGGTGCTATTTTTAGATATTGCGTCATTTTTTCTATTTTTAGAAATTGCGTCATAATTTCTATTTTTAGAAATTGCGTCATAATTTCTATTTTTAGTATTTTTAGAGATTGCATCATTTTTTCTATTTTTAGAAATTGCGTCATAATTTCTATTTTTAGAAATTGCATCATTGGTGCTATTTTTAGAAACTGTGTCATAATTTCTATTTTTATAAATTGCGTCGTAATTTCTATTTTTAGAAATTGCGTCATTGGTGCTATTTTTAGATATTGCGTCATTTTTTCTATTTTTAGAAATTGCGTCATAATTTCTATTTTTAGAAATTGCATCATTGGTGCTATTTTTAGAAACTGTGTCATAATTTCTATTTTTATAAATTGCGTCGTAATTTCTATTTTTAGAAATTGCGTCATTTTTTCTATTTTTAGAAATTGCGTCATTTTTTCTATTTTTAGAAATTGCGTCATAATTTCTATTTTTAGAAATTGCGTCATTGGTGCTATTTTTAGAAATTGCGTCATTTTTTCTATTTTTAGAAATTGCGTCATTTTTTCTATTTTTAGAAATTGCGTCATAATTTCTATTTTTAGAAATTGCATCATTGGTGCTATTTTTAGAAACTGTGTCATAATTTCTATTTTTAGAAATTGCGTCGTAATTTCTATTTTTAGAAATTGCGTCATTTTTTCTATTTTTAGAAATTGCGTCATTGGTGCTATTTTTAGAAATTGCGTCATAATTTCTATTTTTAGAAATTGCGTCATTTTTTCTATTTTTAGAAATTGCGTCATTGGTGCTATTTTTAGAAATTGCGTCATTTTTAAGAAATTGCGTCATAATTTCTATTTTTAGAAATTGCGTCATAATTTCTATTTTTAGAAATTGCGTCATTGGTGCTATTTTTAGAAATTGCGTCATTTTTTCTACTTTTAGAAATTGCGTCATAATTTCTATTTTTAGATATTGCGTCATAATTTCTATTTTAGTATATCTAGAAATTGCGTCATTTTTTTCTTTTTTTAGAAATTGCTTCATTTTTTCTATTTTTAGAAATTGCGTCAATTTTTCTATTTTTAGAAATTGCATCATTGTTGCTATTTTTAGAAATTGCATCACTTTTTTATTTTTAGAAATTATGTCATTTTTTGTATTTTTAGAAATTGCGTCATTTTTTCTATATTGAGAAATTGCGTCATGTTGCTATTTTAAGAAATTGCGTACTGTTGCTATTTTTAGAAATATGCTTAATGTTTCTATTCATATATATACAAAATATATAAAGAAAACTAATGTGACAAGACAGACAAACTAAATTTATAAAAAGGAAACGTTAATATATGTTCAAACCTTTCTATGTTTGCGTTTAGAAAAAGTAAAAAGTCGAGCGTTGCCCCCGCCCGGCGGTGGCTCTTGTTTGTATTGCAAGATAATGTATGATAAATTCGTGATCCTGTTTTGATAGTGTTATACTGATTACTCTGTATATTTACAAAACTTTGGTCGTGATGTGACTTTAACTATGATAACAATATATTATTATATACGGTGAAGAATGAGTGAAGTGAGGTATTATAAAATTTGTTAATACTTATTTTAATTCAATTAAGAATATTTCATTGACTATAAAGGTGGCTACAATACTCAAGCCGTGCTGATATGAATGATTTTGAGATACATAATTATGTTTATAATGACAGTGCGGTATGCACCAACCAATTGTAATCTTGTCCCTACCCCCACCCTCGGGGAAGTGCGGGGGATAGCGTAGAGTTTTTTACATTTCAATTTTCACTTTCTGGTAATATTCCAACTAAGTGTTCTGCAAGTTGAGATATTGTGCTATTTTATGCATGAGCGACCCAGAACAAAAAAAAAATAACCTCAGAATCTACCTTTGGCAGGTCTAACTGTTTTGACCTCTCCGAGCTCCATAATACTAGACTTGCATGCAGTGTGGTGCATTTCGCCGCCATCTGCCTATTACTGCTGGGCGCTACTTTTACTACGGTAGGGTTATATTTCAAAGAGTTCCTGCTCTTGTCTGGGTGTGGGGGAACCGGGTCACAATTAACTTGTGCATTATTTCAAGATTATATCCAGCATGAAAATGACATTTACATTGTTTTTAGCTCGACCTTCAAGGTCAAATGTCTAAATTTTGCTTATAGTGACATTATGCCCATCCAAGGCTATATATATATAGTGAGTGAACAGGTCAAAGTCAGGTGGGTTTACATTCTGCCAAAACTTTCAATTTTATATTTTCTTCGCCAGAACAGTAATTTACTCACGTGTAATTTCTGTATCTATCCATAGGAATTTACAATTTAAATATAGTGGGGCAGTTTTTTTTATATTTCAGGCAGATTCATATTTTATCTTGGTCATTACCGAATATGAACTGTTTGTCAATCACCAGTCACTCTTTTGAATTATATTGTCAACTCAGCTCATCGTGAATATGAAAAAATGATCATAATGTCACTTTAATTTTTGCCGATTTACGCTATTAGCGGGTAGATAACTTCGTTATTTTTGAATGGATTGTCTTAAACTTGAACATAAATTTCCTGTCATTTCAAGCGTGTCTTTAAATGATAGAAGTTATCACCAAGGGCGACAAATCTTCAGACCTTATGGTACTTGTGACGTCATTATGAATTTCGTCATAGCGTAGCCAGGTTCTTTTTCGTTTAGACAGATAGAGAAAGGTTGGAGAAAAATATTTTATTTTTCTGAAATCTAAATTTAAATAGTTTCCGAATTTGAATCTTACATACACTGCGATTGTATTTTTAGTATCATGTTTTAGAATTAATGTCAGCCATGGCCATATCTTGCCAAAATATCATTAAACATAAATAAGTTAAACATCTTTGTTTTTTGTCCCTCTTGCGATACCAATCTTTTACGAGTCGACAGGCCGTCAAGTAAACAAGACAGACATTGCCCTTCATTCATAAATGTTCTTGACATTGAGGGTCAAATTATTGAGAAAAAAAATATCTTCATGATTGGACAAAACAACATTTTGGTCAAACCTTCTAAAAGGTCGAACTAACGTTGACTGAGCTTGAAATGACATTGACAGTAAAGGTCAAATTATTGAATTTTGGTTAAATTGACATTAAATTTTGTTATTTATGTCCGGATTTGATTTATATTTTGGCAAAACATGACTTGTTACCTAACAAATATATTAAATAATTGAGATGTGACCTTCAACTTTACTTGGCCTTGACTTTCGAGAACTAGACAGACCTATTAAAATTCTATGAACTTAAAGGGAACAAAATCTCTCTTTAATTTTTATTTTAAGGATTGGTTTAAACCGTTTATTTGTTTTCTTTTAGAAAAAGTCGAAGAAGAAAAGAGAAAATGATGTCCGACGCTGACGGCCCGGGGGTGGCAACGGCAGCAGCGGCTGTTGCGACAGGTGTACCGACCGGTGGTGGAGATAATACTAACACGGGGGATAACTCTGAAATGAAACATGTCTGGAAGTTTATCTACATTGATTTAAGTTTTGTCAAGAGTCTATATGGGATATTTGTTGCTGCAGAATTAGTGAGTTTTACATGAGCCGATCTATGATTTAAGTATTAATTATTTTCATACAATATTTTAGGGAATGTGCTAATTACTTTATATATCACCAAAAAAGCTACACTGTTCTCTATGTAAGTACAGTGCTATAATAAAGCTGTTTTTTATGATAACATTTGCCATTGCGGTATACCGTACCCCGGATATTGCTCGATATTATGAGGACTTTCATCCCATTTCGCGACTTTGAACGAGAAAGGAGGTAAGTTCAGTGACGATATTTAGTCATTTGGAATTGGTTTGATATAAATTTTATAGAAAAACAAATACTTTGATAATTTCTCTAGTTGCTGAAACCCAAAAAATGTTTAGAAATAGCTTTGAAATGTAATTAGGAGGTAAAATTCGTCTCTTTGCTCACGTGATAAATGAGCTCGGATCAGTCAAATTTGATGTTTTTGTGCATATACTTCTTTAAAAGAAAAACTTGAATCGAGTGAAATGTGATCATTAATGATGATAATGTTTATGATGTAAATGTTCAATCAACAATAGAACCCCAGATGACAGTGCATTTTGAGAATAAATACACATGTCAGTGTACCGAGTATTGCGTTGGAGTTGCCCGATGGTGTCACGAGTATTGCTTTTTAGTGTAACGAGTATTGGTTATCAATAAAGAGTAAATGCAAGTAGTAAACACAAAGTATTTACCACATTTAATTTTAAATATTTCTTATTGTGTATACTTATTTACACTATAAGTGCAGAATATGCAGAGTTCGGAGGTACTTTACTGGAAACATCTGCAAATAATCCAGATTTTCATTCCTGCTCATGAAAAATCTCAGTCGAACGAACTCAGCAATTTTCTGTGTTTACAAAGTTCTCGTTGCTATCGAAGGATCAACCTTTCCAGAATTTGTTAATAATTATTGCATATCTTACTTTAAATAGTAAAAAAAGCATCCAAAGTGCATTAATGCTGCCTCAAGATTGTCAATATTAGATGGTATTGAGCAAGTGTGCCAATATCTATTATCAACCGACTTCCTACTATGCCAAAAATCCATATAAAGGTAACTTTCGGTCATTTTGTACCTGCACTCTAGCAACGGCAGACCGTCTGCACATGAAATGTGTTACGTCATTAGCAATGAGTTACCGTATGACTGCCGAGCGGGTACAGCTCAAAAAATCGAATAATGGATTTTGATAAGATTATGATAAAGGGCAGCAGATGCAATAAGAAGGTTATGTTCCTTATTACCTTTTACCTCATAAAGGCGTGTTTTAGGGCTGTCTTGTGCTGTCCTGTTTTTGTTTGGGGTCCGCCTGGGCTCCTTGCCACTGGTTCGTGTTGCTGGGTCGTAGGGGGGTTGCGTTCATTGAACGCCGCCTTTCCTTTCCTTTTCTTGTTTATCATATTTGAAGGCTTTACACCCCACCCCTTTTGAGGCCTCAAATAGTGTAAAACATGCGCTATTTAGAAATTTTGAGTTTGAGAAATGTTGTTCAAAAGAGTGATCACTTTTTCGGCGCCACCACCCCCCCCATTAAAAAGGTACATCAAGGGGGTGCCATAGGGGTGCCCCCTTCTGTTTGGGGGTTTGAAGTGGGACAGTAGCCCCTCTTATCGCCGAGAAGATTTGGGACTTGTGGGGGGGGGGCTAAAATGGCCTCAGGTCGATTTAAACGTACCGTGTAATCAACGCCGAAAATCTTAGACTTTATTTCAATCAATTGAGAAGTTGCTGCACCTTGAAATCAGTTTTGATGGGGAAAAAACAACGCAAAAAAAGAGATTTTTGGCAATTTTGAGACGTCCCCCCGTTGTCATGGTAACTGGAAATTTAAAATTGAGCAAGGTGTTCCACAGGCTATGGTCCAGCCAATATTTGTGCCCAGTTTGATCAGTATTGAAGCATTTTTTTTATAGTTTCATAGCAGTTTGAACTTGTAAAAGAGGCTTTAATCAATGAAAACAGGCTTTTTTTCGCAATATGCTCATGCAGTAAAAGGTTAAGACGATATCGGCATGCTTGGACGGCATAAGCCCTCGGGCCAATATTTTACTAAGTGTGTCGATATGTTTCTTCTGTAAAAACCTATTATTAATGTCATCTAAATATGTTTTTTTCTTCTCCTTCTTTTCAGAGATGGGTCTCTCTTGAGACATGCATTTAAAGATTTTTATCGTCAATTTTGATGGTTCTACCCTGCTCCCGACCCTGCTTCCGACCCTGCACACACTTTATTTCATCCATAGTGTGATTTTCAATCAAATGGGAAATTAAATCTCTGTATTTGCCCGTAGGAAAAGAACAGTAATAACACTGAAAATGCATTGTTGAATCTGAATATTTGAATAAATATCATATAAACAGTACATTATCAGCATAAGAATGTAATGGAATCGATAAACAGACGTGAAAAATAGACAAAAATATCGATTTTCCATACTAATGTGCTCATTTTGTTTTGCAATACACTGTACACTAAAGTTGGGCTATTTTGCAATACTCTGTACACTTAAAATCAATACTCGGTACACATTCTTGTATCTTTATTGGCCTGTATCTTTTTGTACTTTCACACTTTTTGCCTGAAATTTGGACAAAGCATACTTGGATTGTATATAAAAAAATTGCTCGATTCAATTTTTTTTATATTGGTAATATAATAATTTCTAACGATTCTACAGTATCGCGGTCAGTATTTCCTAGTGAGCAGCAGATCGTTTAGAGGTAGTTTAATCAATTTTACAAATACCTGTAATACTTTTACGTCTTTTAGAGCTACAAAAATACCTCTAGATATATAAAACCCGTTGAAATAAATGAAATAGCCATTAGTTTGGAAAATATCGTCGTTGAACTTACCTTCGTTCTCCGTTCAAAGTCGCGAAAAGGGATGAAAGTCCTCATAATATCGTGCAATATCCGGGGTACGGTATACCGCAGTGTTTGCTGCTCCTATACTATTTCGTGGCTGTCGCTTTCTTTACACATAAAACGTCTTTCAACACGTCAATAAACAGGAGAAACACACAAGTCATGTTGGGTGTTTCTATTTCTTTATAAATTTGTATTTCTTATATAATGCATTATAACTTTATGGATACAATTTTCTTATTCAACATCCTACGTATATATATGTTAGTGTTCATTCAGAAATTAGAAACTTCGACGGGAGCGATAGCGACAGGAAAATATTTCAAACTGTAGAAACGCTTCGGGTGAATACTAACAAACTTAGAGTCAAACTTTATTTGGCTTCATTAATAGCACTATGCGGTACTATGAAGTACTATGAAAAATAGAAGGCGACAATGAACGGGGTTTGATATAGTATCGACTTTTGTTCTTTGAAAATTAAAATGCACATTTATGAAATACAGCATTTTCATTGGATGACAAAGTTGGACACTAAATTTGATAGAGAGAAATTACTTAGTTATAAAGTATCTTGACAAGTGCACATTTCTTATATGATATAGTCAAGCGTACGACGCTTTAGCTTTTGTGAGCGCGTGTGTGTGATTTTTGTCTTTTGTAGTTTGTTCCGAAATAAGTTATACTCTTCGTATTTATTCATGTTTCAGATTTTGTCATTACTTGGTCTTATTAGTGTCTCTGTCCCAAAGAACGAGGGTTGTGCGTATCTATACAGTTCATCATATTCGTACTACGAGTTTACTGCTAGTTCATGTTTCATTGTCTCGCTTGTATGGTATATACTGTATGCTCTAGCTATAACCAAGAAACTCGGCTTCATTAGATGGGATATAGCGGTAAGTTGCGGTGTGTCTACTACGGTGGCATAGAGGGGCCATCAGAAATATTCTATCTAAAAAGTGCTCACCCGATAGCTACTACGAGCGCACGTGATAGATAAAATATTTCTGATGTTCCCTCTTTGCCACCGTAGTCTACATTAGCTTACTATTTTTTTTTCCTAAAGAAAGAGTAATATTATTATGTATTATATACAACTCTGGAGAGCGACCATCTGTAAAATGATCATTTACAAAAAATTTCACCTCTCTAGAAGCAACACCTCTCAGCAACAGCCAACATCTTTGTCTCCTTTAGGGCGTCAATCTTTAGAGGTTGTACTGTAATGGGGGTTAACTTTTATACCATATCAATACTAATGCTAAGTTCAAATACCTTATATGTATTGGTGGTATCACTTAATGCTACATCTGCCTAATTTGAAAATGATATGAACGATGGAAGTCAGAGTGTGTATCAACCACGGACCTTAATTGACAATTAATTAAGGGCCGTGGTGTCAACATTTTGCATATAAATATAAGAGAATACACATTATTATTGAAAAATATGTTTGTATCATAGTTTGGGGAATGTCTGTTGAAAATATGTCGGAGTTAAATCGTATACATATACATGCACAGTGCGTTAACTGGAGTGCAGCTATTAGTTACCCGCACCCCAGAGCATGCCAATTGATTGGCTCATTTTGCTGGGGTTTACTTATTATGACGGAAGAGAAAGGGAAAGCGATAGAAATATCATATTCAGATGCTCGTTCATTGGTTACTTTTTCCCGGAGTTTCATATTGTGGCAACAGGGAACGTGTTTTTATGTTTGACTATGATACAAAAGAGAAAGAACATCAAAACACTCGGCAATCTGATTAATACTCGGGGGCTACGCCCCTCGTACAAATCAGATAGCCTCGTGTTTCGATGCTCTTTCTATTACTTGTATGCCCATTCTATTTATTATTTAATAAATTACATTAAGGTGTATCAAATTAAAAGTTCATACCGTTGAAAGACATGATAAAGAGGTTGATCTATATCTGACAGGAGAACAAGAGTAGCAACTATTGCGATTTTTGGGCATAGATCTTACATTCGTTGCATGTGTATTTTATATTATTGTCTATAATTTATTATATTTCTTTCAATGTATATGTGTACATGATTTCAACTTTTAACTTTACAGGAAATTGTGTGGATAGGGTTTTACATATTTAATTACCTCATAGGATCAGCAGTGATAGCTTCAAAAGCTTGTGGTCAAGGTGGATATAAAGCTGCCGCGGTACGTATATCAATCTTTCATCCTCAGAAACTTTCGTTGTCTTTAACCCAGAACTGTATGCAAGCTACCAAGTTAGTATATCCGTAAACAGAAATAGTCAGCTGCCGGGCTATGCCTTATACACGATTACCATAAAAACAGTCGCGATATTTGGGCTTAAAACCACTATAGTTATAAGTCATTGGAATCGCCATATGCGGAGCCATATATCTTATGCGCAATATATAGAGGATATGTGTTTAGTTCAGTGTAAGATCGGAATATATATTTCACCGAGTGAGCACCAAAAGGAATATTTCACGAGTGGCGCAGCCACGAGTGAAATATGAACTTTTGGTGTTCACAAGGTGAAATATATTTCGATCTTACACTAAACTAAACAAATTTTCTTTTTATTATATGCAAATAAACGTTTTAAAAAGACATTAAATCTAATACTGAATGAAAAGCGCGCCAAATAATTATACAACGTGACGTCATTTACGACGTCACGGCATTAAGTTGGTACCCAGTACTGTGCACGCTGGTATCTCACTGAAACAACGTAAGGGGCTTAAATTCAAAACAGTGAAATTATCAAAGTGGTAATTTCACTGTTTCAAACAGTGAAATTACCAGTTTTCCATCACTGATATATTTCTATAAACCACCGAAAAGCATGTAATAAATCCGTATAATATTACCTAGCGGCTCGGGTTATATTTCCAAACAACCGTTTATATAGGGCCATATAACCTGTCAAAAATATTTATAACTAATAATAGACACGGTTGCTGTCAATTTATAAAGAAATCTAAAAAGATGGTTGCTGTATTATAGATTCATTTTAATTCTTCCTGGCAGGTTATATGGCAGTATGTAAAATGTTGTTTGCAATATAACCATCGGTTAGCGACTCGGGTAATAGTTCCAAATAAGTTGGTTGCCAATCAATAATTAATGCAGAGATAATTTATAAGATGTCAGAAAATTTGCCTTGATTCTCGTTATGAGTTAAAATAACATAAAAATTATACAACCCGGTGTGGTATCCAAGGAACATCTTTTAAAAAATATTGAAGGTGCATCGTTAAAGTAATCAAGGAACATCTTTTGCCGGCTCGCCACGGCGAGCCGGTATTACGGTAGGATTTTACTGAGAAACAACCAAAAACTCCGAAGCCATCCAAAAATTTAATCGAAGCTTGGCTTCCAGCTTTCTACAAAATTTATCTATCAGGGCTAGGATCCAAAATTATTTAGCCAATCAAATTTAATCTTACATAGCGTCAAAAAACCTTCAATTTTCACGCCATTTTTAAAAATCAGCAAGTATTGTTTTGAGCGCAAAGATATAATGATGATTAAAATGTTTGTCTTTATGAATTCTTTTCAATAAATCATATTTACACTGACTTCTGATTTAGCGATTTCACCTGTTTTCTCTGTAGTATGTTTTCGTTTGGTTAATTAACATAAGTGTACATCTGGTTCTGTGCATTTTTTATTTTTTTCCGGTCATTTTATCCTTTCCGGTATTTAGTGTATGTATTTACTAGCCGGGATCCGGGACGCCCGGGATCCGGGATCGTATAAGATATGGAGGAAAAACCTAATGAACTATATTTGTGTTGATTGTTGTCGTAATGAAAGGCCATTAAACGTTAAAATTTTTTATTGTATATAATGAACGTTAAATTAATTTAACTTAGAATATAGATATATTTAGAGCTATTTATTAACAAACTTAAAATGCGGAAATCACAATACTTATAATTATATGCCTAATTAATTGGAAAAATCAAAGACTATTTTCTTGAATTGGCCAAATCCCGGGATCCCTATATGTTTTAAAACGATCCCAGCTTTTCTGAAAACTATATACTTGAACTGGCCAATCCGTGAGATCTATTTACATTTTAATACGATCCCGGCTTTTCTGAAAACTATATTCTTGAACTGGTCAATTCCCGGGATCCCTATATGTTTTAATAGGACCCCGGCTTATCTGAAAAACATCTTCTTAGACTGGTCAATTTCCGGGATCCCTATATTTTTTAATAGGATCCCGGCTTTTCTGGCTGAATTGATTGACAACTTGTGTTTACTTTATGACTTGTGCCTCTCATTCCAATACTAAATAACATACATGTATTACAACTTAATTTTGTATAAAGAGACATCTTTATGAAATCTACCTATCTAACATTTTGTGGTCAAAGTCAACAGGCCATATAGTAAATGACTAAATGTGCATAGACATAGGTTCTTCATTCTATCTGTTTACATGCACCTTCATATATACTCATACTCATCTTGGTTAAACTGAGAGAACTTTATATGTCACTTTCAGTCAATGAGTTTAAGATTTTGAATTTACTGGCCCGAATTCCAGTTTTGAATTTATTCTACTAAATAATTAACAAAATTTTCTTAAATTTACACTGGCCTGAACTTATATACACTGGCCATCGGGCACCGGGCCAGTGTTGACTTCACTTTTATTTTGATGTTCGCTGAAGTCTCTTCAGCTAACAGAACTGTCATTTTTACATTTAAACACACCCCTTGAAAAAAATTACGAAGCGAGTCGCTACTAGCTTTTTTAAAAGCTAACCTTGTTTAAATACCACCAGTTTTCTACATTGTTTTGTCGAAGCAATTGACAAATGAAAATGTAAAAAAATGACCTATCAATGCCGCAGGAGAATACATCAATATGACCAAAAAGTAACTTTTAGAGCCTAACTAATTAAAAAAAACATTGTGGTAAAATAAACAATTTTGTGTTCTTGACTTCATAAATAATCAATTGTGTCATGATAAATCTTTTCCAGGCTTTTGGTTTCTTGTGTTTGATTGTGCTTATTGCCCATGAATTCTTTGAGGTCCGAGCATTTGTGGAGAAATGGAAGGGTTCAAAAGGTAACAGTCAGGCAACACCAGACGCTGAAGAGGAGTCCAAATACTAGACCTGGATAAAATCCGTGACTATTCCGGTTTGACAATTAATCTGCAGGCAGCGTTCATTTGTTCAAACTTAATTTTACATTAATTATATCCGTACTAATCACGTTCCAATTCCGGACATAAGATGTGTAAAAGGATTCATTTCTGTGGGTAATATAAACCAGTTCGCAGTGAATTATTATTTTTTCTAAAATGCGTGTTTTGGACTGACGATTGGGATTTCGTGATTTATTTACATGTACTTTCATTACTGTCATTGTTTCTCGTAATGATATAAACGTGTTAAATTAACTAAATTCCTTTGTCATGTTTAGCAGTTGACTATCTTGTATAACATAAAACATATAATTATAAAGTCGTAGAACTGTGGCATGTCTTAATAAATGATTATTACAAATGAATAATGCTCGTAAAACACATGCATAATGATATTAATAAAATGTTCAAAGATGTGTGCTTCAACATTTGTGATTGTTGCGACATTGATGAAAATCCTGATGAATATTTAAAATTTACAAACATGTATATTATAAATACATTTTTATTATTGAAAGTGCCAATACCAATTTGTTTTATTTTTATGACCAAATCTGACGAAAGTAGAACTAAACATACAGGATATATATAAGCGTCATAATGGTAGAGAAATGTAAACAAACCAATACAAAATCACTATGATTATACCAATTGCAAAAGAGAAAATGAAGCAAAAGATATTTCATCTATATATATATGGCCAAATTGAATGAGGAACTTCAACAAAATATTTCAAGAAATAAAAAAGAAAGCTTTCCGATGGCTTAATGGGCCTTTCCGCTTCATACCACGGTAATCTATAAAACAATATTCAAACATTGTGAACGTGACTTCAGTTCTAGTTTTTGCTGGTAAAAACAACACGATATTTTAGAAACATCCATTTTAAAAAAGATACAGTATGTATTATGATTGATTTAACATTGATATGAATATTGGTTAGATTGCCACGATATATTTTATGGCCCCAAACAGGTCGTGATGTGCTGTGAATTACCATGCCCACACCCAAACCGGAAAAGAACCCTAAATGTAATGGTATTAATTGGCAGAACCCGAATTGTGAGCTTCATCTCCAATTATATGATTATATAAATATAATTATAATAAATATTTCCACGTTGTATCTTATATTACAATCTAGACAAAACCATTTATCATTTTAGGGAAAAATTCAAAACATTTACTGAATGAATAGGTATGATCTTGGACTGCCCTGAATACATGAGTTGAAAGGTTTTCCGGCAGTAGGCTAACAGATAAATGAAAATTCCAAATAAAGCATGTCTGGAAAGATACATCCTATTGAATTACTGTGTAGGTAGGAATACCTATCTTTCAACTATAGACTATTTCAATTACCGTGTACATTGCTTCTGTCACAAAATGACAAGGTGATCTTTTGTGATCGCAATTAGTCCGGCGTCCGTCCGTCGTCCGTCCGTAAACTTTTACTTTAAACGATATCTCCTTATAAACCTCATAGCCAATTGTCATCCAAACTTCCCATGAATGTTCCTTTGGTGGTCACCTTTAAAAATTGTTCAAAGAATTTAATTCCATGCAGAACTTTGGCAACCAAAAGGAAAAACTTAAAAAATCTTCTTTTAAAAAACTCAAATAGCTGGAGCTTAGATATTTGGCATGAAACATCTTCTAGTGAATGTCTACCAAGTTTAATCAAATAAAAGCCCTGGGTCAAAATTGGCCCGCCCAGGGGGCTATTGATTTTCCTTGAATGTATATAGTTAAAATTTAAAAAAATCTTATTTTAAAAAACACAAGAAGCTAGAGCTTAGATATTAAGCATGAAACATCTTCTTCTGTGTTTCTACCAAGTTTGTTAAAATAAAATTCCTAGGATCAAAATTGGCTCCGCCCTGGAGTCATTGATTTTCTATATGTGCATAAAGTAAAAACTTAAAAAATCTTTTTTTCAAAAAACCCACAAACATCTTCTAATGAGTGTCTACCAAGTTTATTCAAATAAAATCCCTGGGGTCAAAATTGGCCCCGCCTCGGGGGTCATTGATTTTCCTTATATGTATGTTGTTATAACAAAAAAATCTTCTTTTAAAAAACCCCAAGGAGCTAGAGCTTTGATATTTAACATGAAACATCTTCTAGTGAGTGTCTATTAAGTTTATTCAAATAAAAGTTATCGGGTCAAAATTCGCCCCGCCCCGGGGGTCATTGATTTTCCTTATATGTGTATTGTAAAAAAAAACAAACAAAAAAATCTTCTGAAAAAAACACAAGAAGCTACAGCTTAGATATTTAGCATGAAACATCTTCTAAAGGCGGTCTACCAAGTTTGTTGAAATAAAATTCCTAGGGTCAAATTTGGCCCCGGCCTGGTGTCATTAATTTTCTATATGGGTACATAGAAAAAAAATCAAAATCTTCTTTTTAAAAAACCCATAGAGCTATCGCTTAGATATTTAGCATGAAAACTTTTTAATGGATGTCTACCAATGTTCAAAGAAAACCTCATGAGTCAAAATTGTGCCCGCCCAAGGGAGTTACTGATTTTCCATATATGTATATTTAAATATCTTTTAAAAAAATCTTCTTTTAAAAAAACTCAAGAGCTAGAGCTTTGATATTTAGCATGAAACATCTTCTAGTGAATGTCTACCAAGTTTAATCAAATAAAAGCCCTGGGTCAAAATTGGCCCGCCCAGGGGGCTATTGAATTTCCTTGAATGTATATAGTTAAAATTTAAAAAAAATCTTATTTTAAAAAACACAAGAAGCCAGAGCTTAGATATTAAGCATGAAACATCTTCTTCTGTGTTTCTACCAAGTTTGTTAAAATAAAGTTCCTAGGATCAAAATTGGCTCCGCCCTGGAGTCATTGATTTTCTATATGTGCATAAAGTAAAAACTTAAAAAATCTTTTTTTCAAAAAACCCACAAACATCTTCTAATGAGTGTCTACCAAGTTTATTCAAATAAAATCCCTGGGGTCAAAATTGGCCCCGCCTCGGGGGTCATTGATTTTCCTTATATGTATGTTGTTATAACAAAAAAATCTTCTTTTAAAAAAAAACCCAAGGAGCTAGAGCTTTGATATTTAACATGAAACATCTTCTAGTGAGTGTCTATTAAGTTTATTCAAATAAAAGTTATCGGGTCAAAATTCGCCCCGCCCCGGGGGTCATTGATTTTCCTTATATGTGTATTGTAAAAAAAACAAACAAAAAATCTTCTGAAAAAAACACAAGAAGCTACAGCTTAGATATTTAGCATGAAACATCTTCTAAAGGCGGTCTACCAAGTTTGTTGAAATAAAATTCCTAGGGTCAAATTTGGCCCCGCCCTGGTGTCATTAATTTTCTATATGGGTACATAGAAAAAAAATCAAAATCTTCTTTTTAAAAAACCCATAGAGCTATCGCTTAGATATTTAGCATGAAAACTTTTTAATGGATGTCTACCAATGTTCAAAGAAAACCTCATGAGTCAAAATTGTGCCCGCCCAAGGGAGTTATTGATTTTCCATATATGTATATTTAAATATCTTTTTAAAAAATCTTCTTTTAAAAAAACTCAAGAGCTAGAGCTTTGATATTTAGCATGAAACATCTTCTAGTGAGTGTCTACCAAATCTGTTCAAATAAAAGCCCTGGGTCAAAATTGGCCCCGTTCAGGCGGTCATTGATTTCTCTCATATGTACTCATTCTTTGGAACTGTTGTTTTCCCTTAGCAACCCTTAGCAATAGCAACCAGTAATGTTTTTAGAGAACTTCTATATTCAGGTGAGCGATTTCAGGGCCATCATGGCCCTCTTGTTTATGGAATGCATTTTCCTTTTCAAGCAACAGTAGAGTCTGGATGACTTCACTTAATTGAATCGGTTGGCGTTACAAAAAAATACATCATTTTCATTACAAATCATTCATTCTGTTTATTACAACAATGGAGCTGCTTTCTATAGTGATTGGGCCTAATTTGCGACACCAAGTTTGTATGTATTCTAGGCCTAAAGAGGGTCATTTTGCCCTTTCAGGCATGATACCAAGTTTGTATGTATTCTAAGCTTAAAGAGGATCCGATCCGTTCGCCTTTTCAGGCATGACACTAAGTCTTTATGCATTCTATAGGCTTAGTGAGAGTCCGTTCGCCCTTTCAGGCATGGCACTAAGTTTGAAAATGAGGTAGGCATATCATACACTCAGTTGCAAAAGAAAGTGTGCGCTTGACTGATAGGGAAAATTTGTAAACTTATTTAAGCAAAATGTTGTAATGTTCTCAGAATTTGCAGAAATATATTGTCTACACGATGGTGTATATGTAATTGACATTTGATTATTATCCCTGTAAATAGCCGAGGTATCAAAAACATTTTTTTTTTGTAAATGCGTTTTGGCTTTGAAAATGCATTTTTGGCTTTGTAAATGCATTTTTGGCCTTCAATACTTGAATATGTGAACGGAATATCTTCAAACCAAAGTTCATATGGCGCTACGCCAGGCCCATACAGTCACGAACACTTTCGTTGATACGTTTATGAGACAAACGCAACAGACACTGATTAATGGTCACGTAACGAGACATAAAAGCGTTAAAAACCAAAATTTTGCAACTTTTTCTATTTACAAGAATTACAAAATGTTGATAATTATCAAATTTCAGTTCCAATTAAACCATTATAATTATGGTCAATACTTTTCTGTAAGTTTTGATGCAAAATATGCCACTATTTTGTACATGTATATAAATATGTATAAAAAAAATCCCAAGAAACTAAGAGCAAACTTTCTTTTGCAACAAAGCATATATCGATGGATCGGTGCGAAATGGACAGAACATCTTCATTATGTAATACGAATTACAGCCATTACAACCAAACCACCGACATAATCGTACAAAACTATAATTGTTTTAACTGGTGAATCATATGTTTGAAAATAATGTGTACGTAAACAAGAGCAATATTAGTAGATATTTGTGACATGCAAATGAGATATTTGAGATATCTGTCCTAACTTTGAGGTTATAAGGAACGAAAAAGATAAAAGTCGATTAGAGTTAAGTTGATTTTTATTAGTTCTCTTAACAAATCGTAAACAATGCGTAACAATGGTAAACAACATGTATATTGCACAAAATTATGTACATTAATCTCATTCATTTCATTTATACAACTCATATTTGTGCATTCAATGCATGAATTTGTTCAACTAGAAATATATATACAACATTGATAACAGTTCATGCGATACCTGCCATAAACATTTGTACAATGTTACATGATTGAACACTTAAAATCATTGAAAATTATTCAAACTTAGAAATAAATAGTTACAATTCTATAATAAGTATTTACAAACTAAAACACATTTATGGCATTGTGTATTATAAGTATTACAATTTCTTAATTGCAATATATATTTATATGGTTTATCGTTTTAATGAAGACGGCAATACGTAAATGCTTTCATTTTTACAGGAATTCATATCCATGTATATACTTTCATGTGCTTGAGCGTTTGATGATGTAACAGTTGCTTCTGATTGCATTGTCAATGAGTTAGATGGATTTGTTATTGTCCCTGATATTACAGGCATTACACTTTTGTTCAGTAAATCACTACTACTAGAAGGTAGAGGTGTTCCGCATCCCATATGAAAAATGTCTATAAAATTCACAGCCCCATTTGAATTTGAGACTTCTGCATGTCCTTGTGTTAAAGTTGATGTCTCTAACAGGCTTGTCCCCATACCCATATTGAAAATATCTATGGCCGTTTTTGTAGAGTTACCGTTATGAGCAGGGTTTATCTCTGATAAATCTATCAACATACTTTCATTATCACATTTATCACAGCTTTTCATTTCATCGTCAATTACAAAACCTTGATTCAACATATCACCTTTGTCGGCGTTATTCAACGACTGCATCGACTCGTCATTTTCATACTTGGTTTCATCAAGTTCTGTAACCTCAGCCACGTCACTAATATTTGCTGGCGTCCAAACTGTAAGATCAGGAAAAGGATTTTCAATATCGCCAGACGACGACTTTGTCGTAGGTCCGACTTCAGCGTATATAGGTTCGTCATCAGCAAATTCCATGTCGATGCTGTCACTACTATTATCGCCGATACGACCAAACAATCCCGGCTGTAAAGACATGTCAAAATTTTGTTTCAAACCCAATGAATTATTTGTTCTGTTTAACATATCAACTTGCATAGAAACGTTCCTGTTATGCTTCCATAATGTGTTTCTCCTATCGACTGGTTCTGAATTGCGCACGTGGCTTGCTGTGGGACGCTTCATAGCAGACGACATATTCAAATTGAGCGAGCTGCTTCTTTCCCGCTTCTGAGGAACGGACATACCATCATTGTCTTTCAAAAATCTCTCAATGGCGATTGGTTGATACAAATCCTCGTTTCCAGCAATAACTGATTTATTTCCTAGCGGCCATACTTTAACGGCCATCTCATCAGTTTTAGTACTGCCTCTTGTGCTCTCCGAATCCGAATCGCTGGATGAAGACAGACTTATCGTTCTTTCTTTCTGTTTCCTGTTTTTATTTTTTGTAAACGGAAGTGTGAAAAGTTTCTTATCACCGGTATTGAACTTCCGTTTCATTTTATAAGATGATGGTCTTTCCGGAAGTGACGGTGGAACAGATTTTGGATCTACTGTTGGATCCATTCCAAGATGTTTTATTAGATTCTTTTTGCCCTTTCGAAAATTATCCAAGTCTTCATACTCATTTTCTTTTTCTTCAGCTTTAAAGTCACCTGCTGAGTTACACTTCCTTAGTTTAGGATTAGCTCGAGCATATGCATTTTCTCCATTGTTTTTATCCTCACATTTGTTTTCCTCTATGGAAACATCTTGATATATCCCGTTATCATTTACCTCCATTGTTTTACTATCCGTGTCCAAACGTCCATTCTTAAACTCTTCATGAGTAACTTCTATTTCTTGGATTTCAACCGTCAAATTTGCTGCATTTGTATCAATCGGACATGATTGTTTCATGTCGACAGTTGATGTGGAAACGGCACTATCGAAGGAATTCGTTGATCGATTTGTAGCTATTCCGCGCTCAAACTTGGCAGCTTTGTCTACTGCAGTATACAATATACCAGAGTCTCTAGATCCAACAGACGCGGAGCGACATGACACGGAAGAATGAGAAGACATGTTTGACAATGATCTGGTTTTATCGTCTGAGAAAACTGGTTTTGAGCTCTGTATGTCCACGTGACTGTAACCATTCTCATCCAAAAGAACTTTTGTTTTATAGCCAGGCTTGGCAACTGTAAAAGTCGATATTATGTTACCAACTTGTGGAGTACTTTTAGGAAGATGAAATTCGACTGTGTTGTAGTCAGACGTTTTGTCTTCGTCTTTAACTTCAACGGGAGAGGAAAGAAGGTCATCTGTTGACGTGCATTCATTTATAACTGGTGTTTCAAAAGTAACACTTGGTCTATGTTTCCGTTTTAAATCATTCACGTCACCTGTGGTTTCACTATCCATGCTATTGTCAGAGTTCGGTGAATGTAATGGTTTTGTTTGATTATTTGCTGATGTTTCTAGGAGGTCCTTATAACGTTGTTCCATGCTACCGGATGTAGAACTTCTTGTGCGACATGCGCTGTCAATACTTCCGGTGTTGCTTTTGACAGACAAACGTTCTGTCATGTCATTGGTTGGGCTGTTTTTGTCATGTTTCTCAGCTTTCTTGCGATTTAACGCTATAAAAATGTTTGCTTTTATTGAAGCTAGTATCTTAGTGACATGGTCAGAACTGAACTGGAAAATAGCCTCACCACACTCTGATTTTCTGAAAGGTAAAGGCGACAAATTAACTACAGAGTACATTCACGATATTTGTCTAAAAACAGAAATTCAGCCAAAAGCATCATAATAGCATGCTTAACACGCCTGACACTTTTTAATACTATATTATGCTATTTCTCTTGGTTAAAACATTCGTATTTTAGAACAGGAGATAAAAATGAAAATGCTAAATACATGTTTACTGATCCAAGATTTACTACTTGCGTAAGAATTTGTTTAAAAAATGGGAGATCTTATATGAAAATAGGTAACTACTTACGGTCCACATTCGATGCTAAGAATTTCAATAGTAGGGTTTTCAGTATCTTTCACCAGATGAAATCTTTTAAGCATGTTGAGAGACCATTCATAGGAGTTCTTCTCCTTGCTGACTATGGCGATTACTTCCGGGTTAACGGTCATAGAGTACAGCCCTGCTAATGATAACCTCGCAGCATGTTCATTGGGTACAATTGTGACGGGGAACATATCTGTAAAACAAGGGGTATAAAAATTAATCATTCGTAACACTTAATGGCATTGTATTTAATACTGAGTTATAAATGTTACATGTCTTTATAAAAAAGTTATTAGATAGGTTTTATTTTTCACCATATGTAAGAAAAAATGTCTATTGCCTATATGAATAGTAAAACAAGAACTACTCCAACATTTCTTGCCAAATAAATTTAGTAGGTTAAAGTCTATTTCTATCAAGGAATGTTGACGTACCGTTTTCCTCTTGCTCTGGGAAGAAGATCTTTTTAAATGTTGACATCCACGACTGGGTATCTAACTCCGTCGACCCTGCCAATAGAAGGACAGGGTCTCTTTCCACGATTTCGAAAGCATGGGAATGCGTCTTGGATTTAGCAGAGCGGATGTCTGTAACAAATTCTAGGATGAACGTTTGCTTATCCGCTGGTGAATTTTTGGCTGTCTTCTCGTCGGAGTACACGTCGACTTTTGCAGCAGACCTGCCGGCAGATCGAATAGACATCTCGTGGACAATTACCCATTTTTTCTTCCATGACTGAAAAAGAGAAAAAAGATATAGAATTTATGTTATATGAAGCCTAGATGTAATACAAAATAATATTAGAAAGGATAACGCATGTTTTTATAATGATATTCGAGTGTAAATTAAACATTATTGCGCTGTGCATATCACTAATGAGTGCAAAATGTACATGATATCACCTTGATATACGGTCACATGATAGAAATTCAGCAACACGTTCATAATTGAGAATTAAACATTTATCTCGTTTTAATTGAAATCATCGATAAAACTGCATCTACAAAGTTCAGTTAATCGGGGTATTGGGTCAGTTGAAGATAAAATGGTAAATCAATGGCTATTGTAATATCGGTAACTGACACATTGTAATTAAACTTGATCTCATCTTATATATTGTTAAAAAAATATGATAGACTAACAATAGTTTCAAATGATATGTTAATATTTTGGAATTTGCGTAATTAATATTTCAATCCACTTTGCATTATCAATACAAACGATAGAAATTTCTTTAGTAGAATGACCCTATTTCACATTGAATATGTATTTATATCGACATATTCAAGAGTGTCCATTTTCTAAATGCCGAATAACTAACTCATTTACTATAACACTTTGACACTTAATACATAAAGAAACCATGGTCGGACAGAATTTAGCATTAGAGATCAAACGTTTATCGGTTAAAATAAATATGCATGCTACAAGGAAACGAAATCATAACAAACTTTGCACCGTGCTGCTAATCCCCTTCTGGAAACTTTCTATGAGGTTATGTTATGTGAATGTCATATCTAATTTCTTGCTTAAATTTTAAATGATCTAACAGATGTTGCCGAATTGTAAAAACAAGCCCACAAAATTACAGTGAAATGAGTACAAAAGAAACGGAATCCGGTTAAAGAGGTTTAATTCGAGAAGAAAAATCGTTCTGACAATTTAATTGTTCATTTTTTCTTTACTCTGATTTTTTTTAGGAACGTAACAAATGCCAAACTTTGAGCATTTGTATAGCATAGATTTTTTCATAGCAAGAAACATGTGTTATTTTTTACTTAATGATAGTAAAAAAAACAAAATCCTAGTCTTAGAACAAAGTATTACTTCTCTTCTATTTTATAACAGATAACCAATAAATACCAACCAATAAAATATGCTTCCAATAAAAGTGGTTTATTATATAATTAAAGAATTCATACATAATAAAATAGATAAATACTTACTTTGAGTTTCCTGCCTTTAATTTTTGGAGGCTGTTTGATGTCTATGTAGCCCGAATATTCTATCCCACCTTCAATCATCTTGTACGTCCGTACGTGCGACGCTGATACACTTTTTCTCCTCCGAAATGAATCTAGTAGTGAAAAAACGAAAGCAAAATTATTTCCCTAATAATATTTTAAATTACAACATCACTATATAAATTGCTTAGCTAAACGTTAAAACAAAGTTCTATTTTTTTCTCGCATCACTTTGCTGTATGTTTAAAGAAACAATAAAAATTTTACGTAAACAATTTGTCGCATCTTAATTAGTATCACACTGATAAGAGAAGAACAATTTGGTCCAGTGTTGATCCAGTTATATTGTGTATCTATTCGAGATGTCTCGTTTGTAACCATTGAACTTCACCGCTCGTTATCTAGTCCCTGTACTAGGATGATATAAGGCCTCGTTTACATGATTATAACAAAGATTAATTTGGTCAGCATATGATCTAAGGCCTTGTTCATACGGATTAAACCAGTTTAGAATCGCGCACTTATTTAAAAAAAAACTTTTTTATTAAAGAAAACAAATTTACCTGATTTTCATCAAAATATTTATATTCATTTTTAATGTTCAAAGACGTTTGGGTGAAAAACGGTAAGGGAAAAAATGGATAAATCATTCTGTACAATAAGAAAGAAAGGTCAGCGGGTTTGTCGTAAATTTAGAATATTAAACACAGTTATCAGATAAAATACAGCAAATATATGAGTCCTCGTATCAGTTACTGTAAATGGTACTATCTCTCACATACATACTTCTCATATCAATATCAATCTGATACATACATATATTATACATAAATAAACAAATAAAAAATTTATATTATTTACATATTGTTTATGTTTTGATGTTTTAAAGGAATTTTAAATACACCGGTTGGTTTCAGTACATCACGCTGACGGCATTCAAAACGTAGGTCAAATATCCGGAAAAAAATGTGCAAATACCGCTAAAAAGTTGTTGTTGTTGTTGTTGATGTTCAATTGATTTGGCAAAACACACCTTATTTAAACCAAAATACGTTATCTGAATGTAAATGAAACATTTCAGTTATTTTGATGTATAGTTTTGGTTAAGGTTAACATATGTCACCCATAGGCAAGATGCACGGAACTTATTTACTTCACTTTATTCAAATATATGTTTTAAACTCTAAAAAAAAAAAAATCAATTACAAAAGGTCATCTTAGTACGTAAAACCAAACTGAAAAAAAAAAATCGAACCGTCTGTACCTTTTTTCCCAATGTTATCCAATAAACAATGTAAGTATTTTAGTGATTTCTCAAGAAACATGTTTAACTTTTGACCATAGTTGTTGATTTTCTTTCTTTTTTTTAACTGATGTAGAATGTTGTCAATGTGTGCGTGATTCACGCGAGAATACACGGCATGACGTGTGCACGTGTCATATTTTTTTGCTGAAGAAGATTCAATATATTCTGAAATTGTCTTGTATATTCAATTTGACACTTTCAGAATATGACACACTAAAGGTGAACTAGGACTATAATAAACTTTACATACTACATATATAAAATCTAAAACAAAACACTTTATGTCATATATGATATTTATACTAAAACAATTTAAACAATTTTTACCTTTCAAAAATTTTCTAAACTCGATAAAATAATTACACTCAGATATTTGCTTCCGTCCTCAAATTTGGTGATGAAACTAGATTGTATATATTTTATGTATATCTTTCAAGATATTGAAAACTTATAAATCCATCCATCTTTTTTACGAATTATATATTCCAATCCAAACACAGCTCCTCTTTAAAATTTAGCAATACTAATTACATACTATTTAATTATCTATTTAATTACTAATTATCTATCTATTAAGTGTATAATTATCAAGTTGTGTGTAATTATCTCCTGATATAGGACCATCCATTAAATTAAAAAATATCGAATTTGGTAATTGCCCAATAAAAATAAGTATTACTTATTCCTAGTAAAATATTATTTAATTTAATTTTATAAAATCCCATTTTTGAACCATTTTAATCCACTGGGTTGACATAGATTGCACGTGAATAAAAAAACGGAAATGTAAAAAGATTAACATTGATTATGTTAAAATAAATGTGATAAAACGAGTTAAAGTTTTGCTTTCTACGGTGAATGAGACAAAACGAGTTCTACTTTAAGTTTCAACACGATTTTTTGGTTATTTTTCTTTATTTCTTTAAGAATAATAACTATATTGTGTTTATAGTTACATGTATGTAAACGTTCGTCTTAAAAAAAATCTGTGTGTCTATCTTGCGTTTATTAATTGTTCCTTTTATTTGAAAATTGCATAATTTTTATTGATTCTTAGCTACTTTGATGTATAAAAATTTCATTTTATTGCATTATTGAAGGTTCTTAACATAACTCGTCATAAAATCTCAATATGTGGTTAACAAAAATTATGTTCTTTATAAAAAGATTGTTATCTTTTGCCGTAGGGTTGGCAATTTCAACTTTTGATAAAGTTAAAGTAGGTGTGTATGATCACTTTCATATCCGTGATTTCTCATTTTGGTTTTGGTTTAAACACATTTATTTAAGCTCCATTGCGAATCAAGTTTCTTACAACTTATATTAATCACTTATCGAGTCTGCTTTATGGAACCAACCAGTACTGGTGACATGGTCGTGACCCGACTAGGGCTCGAATCCATGGGTTGACAGAAAACACCTTAACCGCTAGGCCACCAATCCCCTTAATAAAAGTAGTTATATTCAAAGCTTAAGATGGTATGAAATTCAGCCATATCAAAAAACTTTTTTAAGCCATTTTTCTGTGAATGTTGTTTTAAACTGTACTTGGGCAAGGCGGATATAGATTTTTTTGATTCTGTAAAGCTGGTAATAAATTACTTTATTTTAAAGCATATCCGCGTTACACACGGCTTAATGTAAATACAGCCCTCGTTAAAATAAGATAGGAGCTAAATTTATCTTAAAAATATTGCAATGTTACGGATTTGGATTTATGGGGGATACAAGTTAAATCAAATAGTCTGTTTCTCACAGCACTATATGTTTAAAAATGTAGATTATTTCTGTTCATCCTCGTCTATTATAATAGATACTTTTACATAAAACATATTTAACTGATATGATATATAAACAAATATGTTTTAATGCTTACAATCATTTACGTAATAATAATGTTTGCGTCACAGAGATAAATCAATTATTAATTAATTACTCTATCTTGATTGTAATTACTCTTACAACAATGAAACCGTATCAAACAATTAATTGGTTTACAAACAAGTTAACAAGACCAGTTACGGTCCGCCGATCATGATATGATATGACAGATGATCAAATCATTTTATGTAGCTTATGTTGCTGAATTTATAGCTAGTTCAATTCATATTTTAAATGATAAATCCTTCTTCTTGTATTTAAAGTAAATTGTCTTCAAGTATTAATGCATAAAGATTTTTCTGTAAACCATGTTCTCTTTATATATGAATACTTTGTATGCTAAAACATTGTATTTCTATAATCTTTAATGCTGATTAAACTATATTGTATTGTATGTTTAAACATACTGTTTTATATGTATGTATTTTTTTTAATCGCAAATATCAAATTAAATAATTCAAACACATAAATGAAATTATATATTTAACTGTTAGTTAGCTGGGACTGAAGGTGATTACCCTTTGAGAAAAGTATAGTTACAAACGATTCTATATATGAGCCGCGTCATGACAAAACCAACATAGTGCGTTTGCGACCAGCATGGATCCAGACCAGCCTGCGCAGTCTGATCAGGATCCATGCTGTTCGCTATCAGTTTCTCTACTTGTAATAGGGTCTGTAAGGGAACAGCATGGATCCTGATTGGTTTTGTCGTGACGCGGCTCATATATAGTGGGGTTGGTAGTTTAACCTCCTTATCAGTATGCAACCGTTCAGTCCCGGGCAGACTGACAAGCAGATAACCAGTACTAGTTCATCTTCGCAAGGAACTGGTTACTTCTGCCAGAGCAGTGGTACGGTGCTAACAACTGTAGAAAGGATTTTATGACCAATCACAACGAAAGTGACCAGCACCGTCCGGGAATCGAACCCGGATCGAGAATTTCTTTTTTCACATTGATATCATTTGACATTTGAATGGGCTACCCCAAATTAGCTATTCAAGTTATGTAGCTTAAAGGTTAAATAAAAATTGACATAAGATGTCATAATTATATAATGTAACAGCAGGGTCTTTCTGTTTGAAATATTAGAGCACTCTCGTTGTTACATCCCCACCCCCTCCCCCTCTCTATAACACACACTGTTGTACTTTTTCTCAGCATATTATGAAACAAATAAAACATCTGTGTACACTTTGATATTAAACATTGAATCGGCATTCTCCTAGAGCAAAGTGGCACTTTTTCTCATTTACTTTGACAGCTGGATTACAGATTATAATATCTTCGTAGCTGCATGAAACTCTCCGAGAGCTGCATAGTGCATATGCATGCAGCAGCCATAACCATTCTTTAAAGAAATGTTTATAAATTATATATCTGGAAAAAAGTTATCATGCAAAATAATCAAAAACGCAATGTTGTACTATCGGCCGAGTAGCTAATTAATAGGTACTGTAACGCTCAACTTATAACAAAATGTTGTACAAAATAAAAAATGTGTTGCACACAAAACGATTTTCATTTTCAATTATTAGAATCTTATAATTACAAAATAAAAAAATGATAATACTTTGCATGTCATTAAAACAAATAACAAACCCGTGCGGTAAGTCCGGAGACATGGCACTGATGGAGTGTTGAAGGTCCGATCCAGTCCGTACTCCTGAAACAAGAACATCCTCTCGCAATTGAAACGTTAACGACTGCTTCAAAGACTTAATCAAATCCACATTGTTGAAATAATAAAAACCGAAATTTGAAATAACGCTCCTATTTAAAACTCCACATAAGTCATCCTTCACTCAGAAGACTTTAACTGATGTGTAACAAACATAGGTGTAAACCTTCGCATGTTTGAGAAATATTTGTTTTTACAATACTGACATCCGTCTCTCGAAATTTGAAATGAATAATTAGTCAGAAACGTTCGAAAAACATGTTGTTTATATAACGTATAACAATAAAATATTTTCTAACGTTAACCACATGTGCAAAATGCAATAGGATAGTTCGTTATTTTGATTTTTCTTGTTTACATTTCACTGACTTCCGCTTTTGCGCGAGAGTTTAAAGAGACAGACGATAGCATAGGGAAAAGACATTAAAACTACGTCTAGGGGTTTAAGGGGTTAAATGGCTTGGTTGGTTAACCTCAGATTACGATACAATACATTTATTGTAGTACTTTAATGATTAAACTATGCAAGGTGGTAATTGTGTTATCGGATTTTTATCGATTAATCGATAGCTATAAAAACCAGTCCCTTGTGATATTTTTTGCGGTGCGGACTAAGTCTAAATTAGAAGTTTATAAAGATTTTTCCATTGCCAGACACAGTGTCTGGTTGTTGTTAAATATACTGATATGTTTTGATATGTGATAAATAAAATATACAGGAATGCGAAACATTCCTGTCACCTTTACCGCAGTTTAAATAGGTGTAAATCATAAACAAACCAATGATATTATATAATATTGACTTGTTTCTGCATTATTAAGTTCTATTATACATGCCCAACATTAAACGGAATTTTGTAAATTCTCACCAAAAGTGATTAAAATATGTATATATCTCTTGTCTATGATGAATCATTTAAGTTTATCTTTCACGAGTAATGAAAAAAAAAAAAAAATACATCATCAACACGTCCGATCATTATCACAAAAGCTGATGCAGATCGAACGTGTTCGCAACGTTGAGATGTACAAACATATAAAAGAAGCTTAAAAATCATGACTTTGACAATACCTTACTTTTTTTAAAAACCTGTGAGCATTTTATTATTTATTTTTTTAATCAGCGGTCAATATGTATAAAACTCATTTTCATTTTGGCGAAATGAAGATCAGTTCCATCAGTAAAGCTGGAAGGTGTGTCTTTTTTGTTGCTGTTGTTGTTTTTTGTTTTGTTTTTCTTTTGCATGGCATTGACAGTGACAAAGCAATTTTTTAAACTATAACTCAAAACATAAACAAATATTTTAAATAACAACAAACTTTTTGAAACAAAATAACAAAGTGGTTTATTTTACATAAACAAATTGCGTTAAATATACCACAAAGAAAATACCACTCATATGTGGCAATAACATATTTCGTTCATTTTTCCGCCTTAAGACTGTTCGTCAAAAGTCCACTTTGAACTTGCAATGCAGTCATGTAAACTATTTGTAGCGGTAAAAACTGAACTCTTCAAGATGTTTAACGCTTCTTTTGCAGTCAGATTGCTACTTTCTTCCGTCTCTTCAAATACAAAAGTGCTGGATCCGTATTTACTCTCACTGTAACAAGGATAAAAAAATATGCAATATATAAACAGTGAATACTAATCGCAACATTTTGTAATGAAATCTACGATCGTTTTCAAACAGTCGTATAGACAGGAATATCAAAAGTTTGAAAATCGGCACTACCGCTAAATCGAAGTATTTAGTACAAAACAAGTCTATTTTGTTGTTTCCCCCTCCAGCTAAAGCATTGATACAATAAACTAAGTGAGTGATTTTTTGATAAAACTTCTTGCCATAGGACACCACAAAATGAGGGAATTTTAAAATCTACTTATTTGTTATTTCATGTATTTACAACGACACTGCATTTAATCATACTATACTGAACATTGTGCTTTATTTCAGAAGGATAAACAATCATTCATATTTGCATAACACAGATATTTATTTCAATTGTACATACATTTACTACATTTACTGTAAACGTTATTGCTAGCGTAAAATAAAACATTCAGTCAAACAAAAATTATTTGTTTTCTTGTAGAACTGTGCATGATGTTAGATTTTTCAAGTTAAGTTTTAATTTGGATAACTTATAATAAGCTTCTCTTTTAAATACAAAGTCTATTGCATTTTCTCTTCTTTGTTAGAGAGAATTGTTGAAGTTTCATATAGACTTCTAAAGACTTTCTAAAGAATTTCTTAGATGAATAGGTTTATAATAAGCATTACCTATTACCAATGTTAGAGAATGAATGATATTGGCAGACTATCAGCAGTTGATGACGTAATAATGTACACACCTAGACGCATACTAACTTTGACTCAGATAGTCCGGGAAACAATACATTAACAATGCTACCTCAATGCTTGAAATCAGATAGTTCAGAGGCTATATGTTATATGAAATTAACTTCAATGTACATGTACTAATATGTTCTGCCCTGAAATTCTACATCAATCCCTAAAATGATCAACCTTTTCCATTAACGAATATATATATTTTTTTAAATATTGTTTTCGTTAAAATTCAAACATTGTTTTAGATTTTAAAATAAAAGTTTTCAATTTAAGACTATGGGAAGATAGCTCAAATATAACATACAGTTGTGCAAAGATGATGGCAAAACTGTTGGTGACTCAAATAGGCAGACAGAGATAATTTAAGTAGCTTCTTTACAATATGTTGAGGTCCCTAGCAAACACACGTTATATACAGTAGTCGCTAATGTCATATCGTTTTATAAAAGGTACGATTTATGTCGTACTCATGAATTAAAGTATGACAAAGTTTCTAACTTAATTATACCATAGGCCCTAACTTATTACAAGTGCATCGTTACTCATTACCAAAGTATGTGTATATCCTAGTCCTATGTCGTAGTCCTGAACTTAAGTATGTTCTTGTGCCTAACTAAAGTATATCGTAGACCATAAATATGTCATAGTTCCTAAAATTCTGAATGATTAAAGTATGTCTACTAATTTAACTATGTCGTAGATCTTAACTAAAGTATGTTGTAGTTCTGAACTAAAGTATGTCAAGTATGTCGTAGTCCTGAGTCCTGAACTAAAGTATGTCGAGGTCCTGAACTAATGTATGTCTTAGTTCTGAACTAAAGTATGAAGTAGTTCTGAACTAAAGTATGCCGACCTCCTGATCTAAAGTATGTCGAGATCCTGAAATAAAGTATATGATTGTCGTAGTTCTTATCTCAATCGTGTCGTAGTTCTGAACTAAAGTATGTCGAGATCCTGAACTAAAGTATGTCGACCTCCTGATCTAAAGTATGTCGACCTCCTGATCTAAAGTATGTCGACCTCCTGAAATAAAGTATGTCGTAGTTCTTATCTCAATCGTGTCGTAGTTCTGAACTTAAGTATGTCGAGGTCCTAAACGAAAGGATGTAGCAGTTCTGCACTAATGTATGTCTTAGTTCTGAACTAAAGTATATCGTTTTTCTGAACCTAAGTACTTCGAGGTACTAAGTTAAAGTATGTCGTAGTCCTGAACTAAAATACGTCTAGGTCCTGAACTTAAGTATGTCGCGGTCCTGACCTTATGTATGTCGTTGTTCTGAACTAAAGTAAGTCGAAGTCCAGAGTTAAAGTATGTCGTAGTCCTGAACTAAAATACGTCTAGGTCCTGAACTTAAGTATGTCGCGGTCCTGACCTTATGTATGTCGTTGTTCTGAACTAAAGTAAGTCGAAGTCCAGAGTTAAAGTATGTCGTAGTCCTAAACTAAAATACGTCTAGGTCCTGAACTTAAGTATGTCGCGGTCCTGACCTTATGTATGTCGTTGTTCTGAACTAAAGTAAGTTGAAGTCCAGAGTTAATGTATGTCGTAGTCCTGAACTAAAAAATCTCGAGGTCCTGAATAAAAGTATGTCGAGGTCCTGAACTAAAGTATGTCGTACTTCTAAACTAAAGTGTTTCGTAATTCTAAACCAAAGTATTTCTTGTCCCTAACTTAAGTTTGTCATTATGCTGAAGTCAAATATGCTGTAGTCCTAAACTAAGTATGCGACAGTCCTGAACTCAAGGATGTCGTCGCCCTGAACTAAAGTAAGCCGTAGTTTATCACTAAACTAGTTATGCCTTAGTTCCTAACTAAAGTATATCGTAGTCATAAATTAAAGTACTGGTAAGTCGTATTATATGTGTACCGCCTCTCTTAACATAAATATGTTACGGGCATTATATTACGAATTTCACATTTATAACCTTGTATGAATACACCACATTGTCTAAAATTGCCATTCTACCTGACAATTTTCCAACATTGTTACGTGCCGTATTAGTTTATAGTTCAAGCAACTTGTGTTATAAAGAAACACCTAACAAACATTCATCCAAAGATTTTGAAATATTTGAAAGGAACTGCGTGGCTATATATGTACTTAAAATTCACATTAATTATTGTTAATCAAATGGACTTACGGAATGGTTTCTATCATCAAGCGAACTCTTCCATCAGCTTTCTCAAGTTTGAATCTTGCAATGTGTACTAAAGGCAGGTTAACTGACTTTATTGCCTCTTTTTCATCAAACGGCTCAACAGGTGTGGCCCGACTGTCTCCTCTATGAAGATGACTAATCACTATGGAAACTGTAGTTACTCGAAGATCATAGACCCCATCCGATAGTCGTATTTTCTTGGTGTCATCATTTAATATCAACTTTAAACATATCTTATCTGAAAGGGAAAAGGAATTACATAATGCAATTTTCTACAAAATAATATTGAGACATTTGTTGTCAATGTATACGAACGGACTGTTGTCCTTCATGTAATACAAGTCGGCTCACTATAACGTTGTTTATCATTCTGTGTTTAGAAAACGAAAAAAGAAAAATATTTCTTTTACAGCAGAAAATTACCAAAACGATAAGCATTTTGAAAGCAGCACGTCTCCAGATTCATGCTAATTTTCATGAAAATTTTGAAAATGTATTTAAAAATAAAATATTGTGAAGTGAACAAAGAAAATAATTTTCACAATGCAAACAGCACCAACAATACATGTAAATTACCAAAAAAAAACAGGTCAAAATATGCAAAAGAAAGGCCCTTACTGGGTTAGTAACGCAGCAAAAATATGATGAAAATACTGCAAAATCGGTCATAAATCGTAAATAACATGGACACTTGAATCTTTAAAAAAAATTTAAATCTCAGTTAACTTTTTTCCTTGAAATATTTTGGTTCATCTGGGAACATGCAGCTTTAAAGGGCCACAAATTACTATTATTATCATAGCAACTAACAGTTCTTAAAATAGTTCACGAAACCGTTAGCGGAAATCATGCCTTCTCTTCAAATGATACAAACAACAGAAATATAAATAGGAAATTTCACCGTGTGTGTCTATATGTTCAAGTGCATCCGGCCAGAATAGTTTTCTCAAAGTCCATATCCAGTCCCTGCTCTCAAGCTCCGTGGATCCGGACATAACAATAAGTGATTCTCCCGCGGAAATAATTTCAAATGCATGTAAGTGAGTTTTTGACGTCACCATTGTAATATCTGATATATTCGTAAGCTGGTAGGTTCGAACTAAATCGTCAGAGTTTTGTTTGTATATACTTAATTCTATTATTTCTCCGTCCCTAACAAGATCAACCCGTCGAGTCTTCCACGGCTAAAAAAAAGAAACATGTTTATTATATACTTATAAATAAAATTTTGAGATATAAAATGCGTATTTTCATTTTTTCGTATTTTCACTGTAAAAAATTATTTATTTCACTGCAGTGAAACATATTTCCGTATTTTCACTGGTGTCTAGCCGGACTTCCTTCTTCTGCACCAAATTTAAGGGGAAGTATTTCAAATTGTAAATTTAGTAAAAAAAAAGAAGAAAAAATAGATAATAAACAGAAAATTCAAGTTTTGTTTTCTATAAATACAGTAATTATTCTCGCTAACTTGAACACTATATTAGTAGTTTCATAACTAATACAAAGACTCTCATGTTATCTGACACAAAACGTCCTACTTACATCATACAAATCTGCGTAAAATTAGTAAGCCCTGATAACGCGTAAAGAAAGTCTGAAACCGTTTCTTCACACAAAAAACAGCAGGGTTTGAAGCAGGGACAATTAAGACAATGCTATTTAATTTCATCAACAGACAACAATGGCATATTGAACGTTTTTTTTATGGCTGTTCACATTTAAAAGTGTACCGAATAAATTTAGTTTATTGTTGTATTGATGGACACGTTCTTATTTATATACATCATATATATAATTTAAGAGTGAAAAATTAAATTGAATATAGGTACCGGAGGTCGCCATCCTCGTGTTAAAGTTGACTTAGGAGGAGATTTGACATCAAGTTCGCCAGTTTTAAGTACCGTCTGCCCCACCATACTTTCCTTGCAACCTAAATAAATAAGTATAGTTAATTTTACCAGTGAGGCCAAATATGCAAAACAATTACATATTAGTCTATATATAAATCAAAGATCACAAATCATTCTAGTCAGTATGTGCAATGGTATTTAGAAGGAAAAAAAAACATGAAAAATATACTGTAGTGTTTAGCCAATGTTCATAACTGGACACTGAAGATAAAGGATATTATGTTTGATTATAAAATCGAATTGATTTACAATGCCCTTTGACATACATCTACCTACATCTAGTACTATGTATATTATGGAGACACACAAACGAACGCACGCACGCACACATGTATATACATTACTGATTCTGCTATATAATGCACGGCGGGATACCTGATGTCTCCCTCCACGCCGGAAAGTTGCCATATGACCTCTACTGCTTTGGTGTTTTAATATCCATGGTTTGACATAATATTTGTTCAAATAAATTTCTATTAATTAGTCCTGTAAACTTCATTTCAAGAGTGTTTTCGTTTTAGTTTTGTGAATTAAGATTATGAAATTTCATGAATTAGTACATTTTTGTGTTTCTTAAGCTTTTCACGTAAATCCTTAATCCATTATAGAGTGTTTAATAATGTAAGTCAGCGAGAATCAAATTACAGAAACAAAAATAGTTTATTGTGTAAACAAGGCGCCCTTATCTATTTATATGCGTTTTGACATATACTAATCATAAAAGCAAACTGATTTACATAGGTATTTATACGATAAATGCGCACGTGCTTTTAATAATTTTGAAGTATTTTGAAGTACATGAACATGTATATGTTTGAATACATTATAAAATCAATGTTTCAAATAAATATTTACCGATTAAATGAAGTCATGTACATGTACTATCTCAATAATTTTCGTTGAAATTTAGACCGTTCAGAATAAATTAAATAATACTTAAATGTACAAATGTACTATATCACATACACTGACTGAAGATTAAACATATTAAATTCCTGTAACATCTTAAATGAAAGTCATACAACTTAACAAAGATATTAATCTTTACCTTTTGGTATTTGTATTCCTTTTATTGTCAAAATTAAAACATATAGTTATCCCTATGTTTTCTTTTATTTCTTTACTCTTATTTATAACAGTCTATAAATTAAACGTTTTGACAAACATCATTCTAAATTGAGGTCAGTAAATACTTTCTATATGATATTGTTAAATCAATATCGATTGGATTTGTGGACATGTCAGATCAGGAATGACAGTGCAAGAGAGGAAACTCTTGTTGAAAAACAGAAATACGACAGAATAACCTCCCCCCGTGTTTTACATTGTTACGTGTGCGATTTACGAAAATAATAATTCATTTGGATTTAAATGTCTTTTTGTGTGTAGATATTCAAAGAATGATTCTTTTCCTAGTATTTAGTAAGAATATGCTGGAACATGTGGACATTTTTCCAATTCATGTTGATGTTGTTGTTGTTTTTTGTACAAGATATAGATCCAAGATGTCATATATGATGTGAGTGTAACAGAGAACAAATAGTAATGAAGCTGTTCATAATGAATGTTTATTTTAAATTTGAAGTAAAAGAAAGTTAAAAGAATGAATAAGAAAAATTCAAAGTTTAAGGAGGAGATAATTCTGGAAATAAGGATGCTAGATTTATAAACCTTGTCTTTTTATAATAATGTGGGAGTTTGAAGTAAATCCTAAAAGCAATGAAGAAGTTGGAGTAAAATATACATGTACCAATTTCTCGAAAAATATCTAGGTTCAAGGGGAACATAATTCTGGAAATAGTCTTGCTAGAGTATTGAACCTTCTCCCAAATGATTTGAGTGATAATACGAAACATATTTATGAAGTTTGAAGAAGATACATTAAGAAATAAAGAAGTTATCAAAAACACATTTTTTTCATGTAAGTTCAAGGGAGGTAATTCTGATAATTTTTGTGCTTGAGTTAAAACCATGTCACATATGATGTGGTTGAGGACCAGAAACTTATGTTTGAAGTAAATACCTAAAGAAATAAAGAACTTATAGTGAAAAAGCCTAAAAACTAGAATCAGAAATCTTGACGAGGTTGCCGACGTTTGTTAAGTATGACAGCTCTCAATATACTAGTAATCCCTATCATCAAGATTAAAATGATGTGTATAATTTCCATTCTACCATCTATCCATATTTTAAGTTTCATAAAAATTTTCAGCTTTTTTTGACTAAACACAAATATTGTTATATTTGCCATGTTTTAAGCCTATTTGTTGCCATGGCAACCAATTTTTTTTTTTCAAAATAGGTGAAAAGAAAAAGACATGCATAATCTCCATACTGCCATCTACCCATATTTGAAGTTTCATAAAAATATTTTCAGTACTTTTTGCATTATCACTAGATCCAGTTTTTGTGTTAAATTTTCAATATTTTCAGTCTATTTCTTGCCATAGCAACCAGAATTTTCAACATAGGAAGAAAAGAAAAAGACGTGCATAATCTCCATACTGCCATCTATCAAGTTTCATAAAAATATTTTCAGTACTTTTGGCGTTATCACTGGATCCAGTTTATGTGTAAAATTTGCCATATTTTCAGTCTTTTTGTTGCCATAGCAACCAGAATTTTCAAAATAGGAAGAAAAGAAAAAGACATGCATAATTTCCATACTGCCATCTATCCATTTATCAAATTTCATAAAAAATATTTTCAGTACTTTTTGCTTTATCGCGGGATCCAGTTTTGTGGACGGACGGACTGACGGACGAACAGACGGAGGGTAAACCTAAAGTCCCCTCCGGTAAACAAGTAGGGGACTAATAAAACTACTGTGAAAACAAAGATGGTGAATAAAAAAAGAAGAAAAAGACAAAATTTAAAAATTTAATTCATATATCTCTCAAGAATAAGTTTAATACAATAACAAAAGATAATGACCAATTACATAATATAACTTATAAGAAGATTAAATTCAAGCAAGGTGCGAAAATACATGAACTTAAATATATACTGCTAGAATTTTAGAGGAATTTATAATAATTTCACAAATGACATGGAATGCGTTTGCTAAATAAATAAAACTAAATAAATGTAAATAAACTTTGCTGACTTCTACAGAACACACATTTTATTAGAATTGAATAAAAAGGTCAAATATAAACGTAATCATAAAACAAGAGGGCCATGATGGCCCTGAAATCGCTCACCTGTACAAAGGCATCCAGGGCAGGGCTAATTTTAACCCAGGGGCTTTTATTTAAACAACCTTGGTAGACACCCATTTAAAGATGTTACATGATAAATAGCCAAGCTCAAGGCCAATTTTGTCCCCCATGGCTTTTATTTGAACCAACTTAGTAGACACTCACTAGAAGATAGTTCATGCTTAATATTTAATAACTAAACTCTAGCTTTTTGGGGTTTTTCTAAAGAAGATTTTTTAAGGTTTTTACTATATACATACATGTATAAGGAAAATCAATGAACCCCATGGCGGGACCAATTTTAACCCCAGGACCCTTTTTTGAACAAAAATGGAAGACACCTATTAGAAGATGTTTCATGCTAAATATCTTAGCTCTAGCTCTTACAATTTTTTAAAGAAGATTTTTAAGTTTTTACTATATACTATAAAGAAAGGGAAAAACAAGACCCCCTGGAGCGGGCCCAATTTTGACCCCAGGGCTTTTATTTGAGCAAACTTGGTAGACACCCACTAGAAGATAGTTCATGCCTACTATCTAAGCTCTAGCTATTTGGGTTTTTTAAAAGAAGATTTTTTTTAAAGTTTTTACTATATACAAATAAGGAAAATCAATGACCCCCGGGGAGGGGCCAATTTTGAAACCAGGACATTTATTTAAACAAACTTGGTAGACACTGACTAGATGATGTTTAATGCCAAATATTTAAGCTCTAGCTCTTTTGGTTTTCTAAAAGAAGATATTTTAAGTTTTTTTCTTTCGGTTGCCATGGCAACCAGAGTTTTGCTTGGAATTAAATTCTTTGAACAATTTTTAAAGTTGACTACCAAAGAAACATTCCTTTGAAGTTTGAATGAAATTGGCTTAGCATTTTTATGAGGAGATGTCGTTTAAAGTAAAAGTTTACGGACGGACGGACGCTGGACGAAAAGCGATCACAAAAGCTCACCATGTCACTTTGTGACAGGTTAGCTAAAAAGGAATGAACAAGGCATTGCAATGTAATTAAAGGAATGAAAGCACTGTCTGAAAATAATATTTCCTATCAAATGTTAGCATATAATCAGAGATTTAAATATAGCTCTGTGATATAATGAATCAATAACTAAAAAAATAGTGAAATATAAGCAAGACACCCAAAAGGGCCTATAACACTCACCTAAGTAAATGGAAAAGTAAATGTCAGATAAATTCATAAATGCAGAAGTACATTTGGCACTAGAAGCATAAATGATTTAAAACGGCCTTCAGCTTTTCTAAATGTTAAATATGTAGTAGTTAGGTAAATCGTTTGATATAATTGTCAATTCAAACAAATTAAGGCTGAAAATAAAGTTTTCGACCAAAGAAACAATAATGAAATGTCTCCCTCAAATCTACCGGTTTGCTCTCTTCATTAAATTAGTAAAGCGGACAATTCGTTTTCCGATCTTATATATTCAGATGATCACTACAGTCAATGCTACATGTCTCACATCAAAGTCCCAGAGGCAACACCTTCCTGTTTAAGGTAGAACACCCCTAATGGGCACTATAAGGAACTGTAAAATTGACAACAAAGGACAGTTATATGCCTTAAATGATGTCACCTGTATGCAAAATTTAAACAAAATTTACCGTGTGGTTAATGAGTTATGGACATTTTTCTGAACTAAAACTTTTCCATTAGAAGGGCTTTTTTTCAGAAATTAGGAAACTCTGAATAATCTAAAATATCACCATTATGAAAAATGTTTTCCTATTTTTTATTTTATTAAACTTTGAAAATATCTGGTATCATATTTGCTATTAAATTTGGCATTATTTAGTAAAT